AGAGTTAGGAGCCAGAGGACAAAAGAACCTTTTCCTATAGCTTGCATGTGGGCTTCAGGAGGACTGGAGCAGGCTAAAAGTGTGCTTGTTAGGGGAGCCAGTGGGAGGCCATGAAGAAAGTACAGGGCAAGGACACCAGCAAAGGGGGTGAATGAGGGTGGCAAGAAGTAGCAAATTCATTTTAGTCATGTTAATTGGAACTGTGATTGGCTTATCCAGATGGAGAGACCCAGATCTCAATATGGATTTGAAAACAAGCCTGCAAGGAGAGTAGAGAGAGGCGAGACAGCCTGGAAGCAGCAGCCTCTAGCTTCCGAGAGTCTTCCTACCTTCTCATTGCACATTTCCCCTCAGAAATCCTCCCTGTTCTTAGTAGACCGTGTTTAAGAAGTGGGAGAAGATACCAATACCGCAGGCGTTTGGAGACAGAACAGTCAGGTACACAGGAGTTGCCCGATGATATAGTATCAGTGAAGGTGAAGGAAGAGAGAGGCTCATCAAGCCAGGGTGGTGGGTGACCCCTTAAATCCCTCAGAGAGGTCAAATGAACACTATCTAAGCAGAGACCTTCTGGTGCCTCTCTAATCCTACCGTCTCCTGTCAACATGTCTGACATAGCAGTTATGTGATATTTTAATAGCAGAGTGTTCTGCATCAGCAGGTAGTTGCTGATGTTAATATTTAATTCCCAGCATTTCCCACCAGCAAATATGTGAATATATAAACAAGTATATGAATGAAATTGTCAATGGTGATGAGATAAAAAGTAGTTTCAGTAGGGAGGTGGGCGTAGAAACCAAATTCCAATGTCTAAAATACATGAATAATCACACACTTTTGTAAGGAAAAACAAGCATTTAAGTCCTTACAGTTGATGGCTTTAATGATTTTTTTTTTAAATGAACTGCTATTGTGTTCTTCAGATAGCTAGTTTAATGGAGAAAATTCTGCTAAGAAAATAGTTCTGTTTATTTTGGATTGTCTGTTGGCCAGTGAGACTTCAGGGAGATTTAGGTTACAAGAAAAGGTCCTGACAGCTATCTATGAAAGCAAGATTAAAACAATATTATTCACAGTCAACTGTGGTCCCAGGCTTTGTAAACCAGTGCTGTCAGAATGCTCAGAGATTTTGGAACCTGGAGATCTCCAGGCAGCCAGGTGAGACTAATCTGGAGAAGCTTTAGAAAGGAGATAAATTTAAGCTGTTTTGAAAGGAGACTATTCTAGTCAACTGGCAAAGAGTCTTACAGCACCGGATTAGGTATTTTAATTTGATTACTTGTGATAATTTAGAGCTACCTCAGTGTTGTGAAAAAAAAAAAAACAAAACATGTAAATGTTCCCTGGAAGATGACTCATTTCCATAGTTCCTACCTCTGCAGCACAGGATAAGTACCTGGAGAGTGCTGAAACAGCCTGTTACCCAGGATGTGCCCTAGGTTGGTACACCTAGGGAGGGACCCAGACATCAGTGGTGTAGTCAAAATGGAATGCAGGATCGATTTCTCAGAGTGCAGGGCAAACCGTAAACAGGTATGAAACAGGCTAGAATTAGAAAGGTTAGCAAATAGGCTGATAGTGGGGAGTCTGACCTAGCTTTGTGTACAGAGATGAAAGAGTGAAGCCAAAGTATTCTGGAGGAAGCCTTCCTTGGACTGTGTGATGCTTGTCAGTTGCAATTTTTCACAAAGGCTATCCTCTAAGAACACTGCAGTTCTTATGATGGATCACTTGGAAAATGAACAAATAGGATGTGATTTTTTTTTTTTTTTTTTTGCTAAAATTTGGGGGCTCTTGCTGTTAGCAAAACACTCTATTCCTGTAATAGCATATCTGGTCAAAGGAGAAAACATCATATGAACTTTTACTTCTTTACTTAAACTTTCTTATTTGTATGTATATGGGTGTTTTACGTGCATTGTGTATTTGAGGATCACCTGCATTCCTGGTGCCCCCAGAGACTGGAAAAGGGTGTCAGACCACCTGGAATTGGAATTACAGATGATGGGAGGGTAGTGAAAATCCAACCCAGGTCCCATGAAACAGCAGCAAGTGTTGCTCCTAATCACTGAGCTTTCTTTCCACCCTCAACTTTTATCTTTGAGGGATGAAGAGAAAAGCTAATCTCAGATGTTGGGATTAAAAAAAAAAAAAAACACTAAAATTCTGACTTTTTGGTTGAGTTACAACTAGTCTGTACTGAAATTATGATCCATTTAGACTTTAAAAGTTTAGATTAACCTTGAAGGAACAAGAAAGTCAGGCCATTAAGAACACCGAAGGGAAAGATTCAGTGTCATTTTCAATCATAGCTGTCTCGTTCCCTAGAATGAAGCTTTGTACCAGGTGTGGGAAATGGATGGGTGGTGTTTCAGGAAGGATAGTCTCTCTGAAAGCTGAGATGACAAGCGAGTGTGGGGTTTCAGATCAAATCACTTCAAATCAATCCAATTGACTCTGCCCCACTCTGAAGGGTTGGAGGAAAGGCAGAATGTCACAAGGGGGGGGGAGGGGCTATTACTTATAAGAGGAACTGCCTCATGGTGTAACTGGTAAGGAGTGTTTGATAAAACAACACTGACAGAAAACTTCCCTGGCAAGAGCTCCCAGGAAAGAAGTGACTGAAGACAGTTATTGAAGCGAAATCGTTTCTCTTATCTTTTGAATGAGCTTACAACGGTGATCAGCCTTTATCCAGTCAGTGTTTAGAGAAACGACTTGGATCTATGAATGAAATATATTTATTCCTGCCCTTAGATGCTGGGTCAGATACACAGGGATTATTGGTTAGGGCTGGTCCTCCTGGTCCACATGTTGTGATTTGACAGGCAGAGGCTCTCTGCTTCCTCCTCAGATAGCCCTCGGCTACTTTTATCCTGTTTGTAGGGACTGGCAGTCCATTGTGGCAGGACAGCACACTGGTTCCACAAGACCTCTAAGGAAATAAAGGGAGCAGCAACATACCCAGAAATGACATTCACTCCTTGCCCCTCTACAGAGCAGCTCTGGGCAGATCCAATACTGGGTTGAAAAGCGAGGTGGCGATCTGAAGGGTCACTACATATGAAAGTTTACAGGTCTGGGGTGGGACAGATCTGGGGCGGGGTGCTGCAGCGAAGGAGTCACCGGCTCTCCAGAAAAGTAAGAAAAACCCGAAGAATCCATGCCATCCTGAGCTGTGTAACTATGCTTCCCCTCTGCCTCTGTCTCCCCATACCATTGGGCTCCTAGCCCACTCCATCTCGTTTCACAGGGGGGTCACAATACCTACCCAAAGTTACTCCGCGCTCCTTGGCACATTCCACTTTTCTTAATTGCTTCCAATTTCCTTTTCTCAGGTTTGCTGTTCCGGGAAAGAAGGTTCTAAATTAACGCTCTGCAAAGTCCCCCTACTTGTTGGTTTGCAAAATTAATGATCCTCATGGCAGAGCAAATTAATCTTTGATGCTTGGTTGACGCTAAAGACAAAGCTCACTGGGGCCCTCTTAACACACCGAGTCAGTTTTGGTATTTCCCCCCCCCCCCCTTCCTTCCATGCCTGCTACACCCACGGGAGAGGCAATGCATCACAGTTCAGAGGTCCATCTCGGAAGCGTGTTGCCGGCTTGTAGAGGGGCCATGCAAGGTGCTCGGAAGCCAGATGCTCCCGGGGAAGCCACCAGATGTATGGTCACAGGAGAAGTTTCACTTGCACTTTCTACATGCCCCGAGGAGACACGTTGTTCCATTGAATGGACACGTAATACTCGCCTCGGTTTTGGGGAGAACACGACAGGACCTTCAAGAGTCCACAGCACAGGTCTGAGGGCCCGCAGAGATCTCCGAGGGGCTGGGAATCTCTCACACCGCCTTGCAGTGTTTCTCGACAGAAGCGTCTGCTACACTGCACTGCTCAGTTCCTTCCAGCCGAAAAATTAAAAGCCACACTCCCGTCAAAAGGAGGACACTTTCTTTCAGGGCACCCATCAGCCACCACCCACTCTGCGCAGGGTCGCGGCTGGCGGCCCCGCACTCCGCCTCCTTCCAGGTCTGGGAGCGCCAGATGTTTGGGAGGGAGGGTCCCGGGAGGGTCCCGCCCCCGCCCTCTCCCAGGCGCTAGCAAAGACAACAGCGCCCTTTCATTTGTCGGCTGTGAACCCAAGTCCCCGGCTGGGGCGACGGGAGCAGATCCTGTCCCCCTCCAAGTCCACCTCCGAGCCAGGGCCACGGGAGGGGGGCGGGCTCCGGGACGCCCGCGCCTCCTTTGTGCCACCGCCGCCCCCGGCCGGTCCTCGCCCTCCGCCCGCAGACTGCTGCGGACGCGCGCCGGGCCGGG